CTGCAGCAGGGGCCGCGGGCCCGGCGTGGGTCCTGCCCCAAGCTCTCCCTCCTCTTCAGCTGCTGTGTGAGACCGAGGGCCGGGTCCGTGTGGAGACCACCAAAGACCGCAGCGTCTTCACCGTTGAGGGGGCGGAGAGGGAAGACGAGGGCGTCTACACCGTCACGGTGAAGAACCCGGTGGGCGAGGACCAGGTCAACCTCACCGTCAAGGTCATCGGTGAGGCCGCCTGCGGTCCGCGGGGCAGCTCGCGCAGTCACCGACACGCCCAGGGCCACCGGATGGGAGGGAGGGACACCCGCAAGGAGCCCCGCCGTCACGAGGGGCGCAGGCCGAGAAGTCCTTCGTGGGGCGCCCGCGGGAGCCAGCAGGGGCCGGGGGCTTCGGGGTGCGCAGCCAGCAGGCCTCTGTGTGCCCCCAGATGTGCCCGACGCGCCCGCGGCCCCCGAGATCAGCAACGTGGGCGAGGACTCCTGCACCGCGCGGTGGGCGCCGCCGGCCTTCGACGGCGGGCAGCCGGTGCTGGGTGAGTCCCGGGCGAGGGCTCGGCCGAGGGCCGCGAGCCCTGAGCCGCCGGCGAGCTCCGCTGCCCCGCAGGCTACATCGTGGAGCGCAAGAAGAAGAGGAGCTTCCGCTGGATGCGCCTCAACTTCGACCTGCTGCGCGAGCCGCGGCTGGAGGCGCGGCGCATGATCGAGGGCGTGGCCTACGAGCTGCGCGTCTACGCGGTCAACGCGGTGGGCTCCTCGCGGCCGAGCGCGCCCTCGCGGCCCTTCGTGCCCATCGGTGAGCGGCGAGCGGCGCCGCCCTTCCCACCGGCTGGCGCTGCAGCGGGCTGGGGTGGGGCAGCAGGCGGGGCCGCGGGGCAGGGCGGGCCCCCAAGGTGTGCGTTGGTTTTCGCAGTACGGGGCTCGAACCGAGGAGGACCATCCTAGGTGCTGTTTTGGTTCTTTTTGGCTTACATTGTTGAGCCAGTCTCCCCACGTTGCCCCTGCCAGGCCATCCTCCTGTCTCAGCTTCCCCGGGGCTGGAACGACGGGTGCGCCATCCCACTTGGTTTTACAGACAAGCCTTTTCATGCAGCCAACTATTCCTTTTTTATTTGTCTGTTTTTTTGAAACGGTCTCGCTATGCAGTTCAGGCTGGCCTCGAACTCACTTTGTAGCCCAGGCTAACCTGTAACTTGTAGTGATCCTCCTGCCTCAGCCTCCCTAGTGCTGGTATGACTAGCAGATGCCACCACGCCTGGCCCAGCCATACTGTTTGTGGACTTGCTTGAAAGGGGACACGTTTCCAGAACTCCCTGTGTGCTTGCGGTATCCCACTCGCAGCGGGAGTGGCTCCCAGACGCCCCTACTGTCCCGCCCAGGGCCCCCTGGTGAGCCCTCCCACCTGGCTGTGGAGGACGTCTCGGACACCACTGTCTCTCTCAAGTGGCGGCCACCCGAGCGTGTGGGTGCAGGCGGCCTGGACGGCTACAGCGTGGAATACTGTGCTGAGGGCTGTGAGTGCCCCTGGGAGGTAGGGCGAGGCCCCCGGGCAGGTCCTGCGGGTGCCTGCTGACGTTCTCCCATGCCACCAGGCTCGGAGTGGGTGGCCGCCCTGCAGGGGCTGACAGAGCGCACGTCCCTGCTGGTGAAGGACCTGCCCACTGGCTCCCGGCTACTGTTCCGAGTGCGTGCGCACAACGTGGCGGGGCCCGGAGCCCCGGTCACCACCCAGGAACTGGTGACCGTGCGGGAGATACTGGGTGAGTGCCCCACCCTCGCCGCCCCACCGGGCGCACCCAGCAGCAAGGACAGCCTGGCGACCCTGGTTTGTCCATGCCGGTCCCCCAGTTCTGGCACAGGGAAAACAGGTCGTGTTCCTCACACTGTTCTGAGTCTGGCAGCTCCAACAGGCAGGTCCTGTCCACGTCCTCAGGGCCACCACAGGCCTCTTGGGAAAAGAGCTGGCCAACACCCTATCCACCTCTTGTCCCTCTAGCCTTTGTTTCAACAAAGAACCCGCAACAGCCCCTCGGACACCATCCTGTTCATCCGCGCCGCCCGCCGTGCGCACTCGGGTTGCGCATAGGCTTAGGGCTTTGGGTCTGAAAGCCTAGACTGAATGTCGGCCGTTCCTCACTGGCTGTGTGCGCTCTGGGAGCGCCTTACCCTCCCTGATCCCGCCTCTCAGAGGGGTGTGGTGAGGCTCCAGGGGGCAGGACCTTTGTTAACCTTTTGGATCTGGGCAGCTGGAGTTGTGTGGGTGAGCAGGGCTGGGTGGTGGGTATGTAGGGAGAGAAGGATGCTGTGATGTCTGTCAGGGCCAGGGCATCGAAAGCCCCTGCCCAGCAGCCCTCTCTGTCCTCCAGAGCGGCCACGACTCCAGCTGCCCCGACACCTGCGCCAGGCCATCCAGAGGAAGGTCGGAGAGCCCGTGAACCTCCTCATTCCTTTCCAGGTAGGAGGAGTCCAGCCAGCGGGCAGCAGTGCGTGTTGCAGAGCCAGGCGCGGGAGGCTTGGGTCAACATCAGCCCTGGGGAGAGACAGGCTCTGGGTTGGGCTGTCGGCACCTCTAGGGGAAGCCCCGGCCTCAGGTGACCTGGACCAAAGAGGGGCGGCCACTGGGTGATGAGGATGTGAGCATCCGCAACAGCCCCTCGGACACCATCCTGTTCATCCGCGCCGCCCGCCGTGCGCACTCGGGTTGCTACCAGGTGACCGTGCGCATTGAGAACATGGAGGACTCAGCCACGCTGCTGCTGCAGGTCGTGGGTGCGTGGCCCGGGCACGGGGCATAGCGTCCCCGAGGGCTGTGTGGGCACCTTGCTCTTGCTGGGGAGGATGGGGATCTACCTCGCCCTGTTGCCTGCAGACAAACCGAGTCCTCCCCAGGACCTCCGGGTCACAGAAACCTGGGGTTTCAATGTGGCCCTGGAATGGAAGCCACCCCAGGATGATGGCAACACTGAGCTCTGGGGCTACTCTGTACAGAAAGCTGACAAGAAGACCATGGTGAGCTAGGGCCCCATGCCTTCCCTCGTCCTTTCCAGAGGCCCTGCTGGCCACCTCTGCTGCTCTGGTTTCTGGTCAGGGCACGCAGGGAACTGAGCCTCTTCCTCCCCAGGAGTGGTTCACCGTCCTGGAGCACTACCGCCGCACCCACTGTGTGGTGCCTGAGCTCATCATTGGCAATAGCTACTACTTCCGGGTCTTTAGCCATAACATGGTGGGCCCCAGTGACACAGCTGCCACCACCAAGGAGCCTGTCTTCATCCCCCGGCCAGGTGACTTATCTTGACTCCCATCCAGGGCGCCCTGTGGGAGCGGAGGCTAGCCTGGGGTGGGCCCTCGGCACCAAGTCCTGTCACCCACAGGCCTTACCTACGAGCCACCTAAATACAAGGCCCTGGACTTCTCTGAGGCCCCAAGCTTTACCCAGCCCCTGGCAAACCGCTCAGTCATCGCGGGATACACCACTGTCCTCTGCTGCGCTGTCCGGGGCAGCCCCAAGGTAGGAGCTTCCGGCCCTGGTGCTGCCCCCTGCTCTCCCCTTCTGCCTGTGCTGACAGGGCTTGGGCACTGCTCACTGGCCGTGTGCATGCCAGCCATGGGCAGCTGAGCAGACACACATGCTGCTGTCCCCATGTTCAGCTGGGTTCCCCTGAGACACCTTCCCTCCCCACCTCCCTTTGCCCGGTCCATAGCCCAAGATTTCATGGTTCAAGAATGGCCTGGACCTGGGGGAAGACGCCCGCTTCCGCATGTTCAGCAAGCAAGGTGTGCTGACCCTGGAGATCAGAAAGCCCTGCCCCTTTGATGGGGGTGTCTACGTCTGCAGGGCCACCAACCTGCAGGGTGAGGCACAGTGCGAGTGCCGCCTGGAGGTGCGAGGTGAGGCGCCTGCCGGGCGTAGCTCTGCCAGCCTGGTGCCCAGTGGTGCTGGCTTCTGGGATGGGGACCAGGACTCACGTGCCATGGGCTGTCTTTCTCCTGCAGTGCCTCAGTGACCAGGCCAGTGCCCCAGCTGGCCAAGTACCTACTCCAGTTCCTGCTGAGCCCCCGGGGATCCCAAGAGACCCCAGTTCACTCACAGACACACCCATATCCCAGGTCCAAGTGGATGCCAGTCTGTGTTCCTGAAGCCTGGAGGGGACCCAGAGGGGCTGCCTCCCTGCTGCCCAACGTGTCCTGTGGTGGGTGTGAGCGTGGCATGGCACCATGGGTGGCCTGGGGCTTGGCCAGATGGGCTGGGGTGGTAGGGAGGCCACTTGGCCATATACGTATCTAATGGCAATAAAAGACTTCCCAGAGGATGGACTCTTCTCCGGTGTGTTTATTTCACAGAAAGACAGGAGGGCTCTCCTAGTCTTCAGCGGGACTTTGTTTCCCAGGGGTTCTGAGAGGCCCTGGGGCTCAGCCTGACCAGGGCCCCAGTGAGCCAGGGTCACAGCATCCAGGTCAGGGCAGTGTGGGGTCTAACGCCGTTCTTGGGAGCTGACCTGGGTGCCTGGGGTCACAGGGAGCAGGCAGCGCTGTCCAGCTGCACTCGGGCACAGGACGGTGGACGGCCCGGGGCCCCAGCCAGCACTCGGTTTCTTTCTGGTCTCACAGGGAGCCACAGCCCACGGGAACTGGCTTTTCCCAGGGCATAGAAATCAGGGAGGCTGCTGTCTGGAGCTGTGCTCTGCAGCCCAGCACTGCTGGCTGAGTTTGGGGGAGGCCGGGCCTCCCCGCCTCTTGGAACCCTAACGCGAACTGGCGGCCCAGGACCTGCTTCTTCAGTTGGGCTAAATTAACCAGCTCAGGGTCAAGGCCAGCTCGGCTGCTCCGTCTGGTGGTCAGTTGGCAGTGGCCAGCCTCTTGGTGGCCTGGAGTCCGAAACAGGGAGGCAGAGTAGGGGGGCAGTGGGCCAGAGCTGCAGAAGCCGGGACAGGACCATCTCGCCTCCCTCCCTTCAAGCCTGAGGGGCATTTGTACGCCTGGGCAGAGGAAGTGAGGCAAGGCAGCCAGGGAGCCTGAGGGGCACTGAGGACATTTATTTCACATTCACGCAGCTGTACATTTTCTATAAATAACATGGAGCTGAAATATTTACAGTCATCTCCCAGGCTGTCTCCAGGTGCCAGGAGACCTGGCCTCAGACGGGCCTGTCCCACCTCCCTGGTTCTCAGCCAGTGCCCCCCGAACTCCATCCCCCAACTACTCTGGCCCATTGTGCTGCAGGGAAACTGCTCCAGCCATGCGGACAGCAAGCCACACAGAGGACGCCGGGAGCTCGTGCTCCGCCAGCTGCCTGGCCTTCCTTTCCAGTGCCTGCCCCACACCCCCAGGAACTGGCCTAGTTCAGGTCTACTCCAGGTCACAGAGGATAGAGCCTGGACTCCTGCACGGGAGGGGCATGAGGACACTGGACAGGGAACTCACGCTCACCCTGCAGACACGCTGTCTTGAGCCCCACCCCAGGGGACAGCAGGCCGGCCTTCTAGGGGTGCAGAGGGAAGGGAAGCAACCACCATAGCCTGACAGACAGACGCAAGGACACACTCAGAGTCACAAGCGGGAGCCAGCTAAGCCACGCAGGGGCTTGCAGGGACAGACGCGCCATCTGCTTCGTGCATTGGGCACGGTGGGAGGTAAGGGGCGTCCCTGGCCGGACAGTGGCCTGAGCCTCCTGTCAGCTCGAGACAGGTCGGGGTGGTGTCCGCAGGTCCTCTTCGCTGCTACGGACAGCGGCCACATATGAGAAGAGACACAGCACAGAGTAGCAGATCTCCTGGGCCTAGAGAAGAGCGGACAGATGAGGTGCTAGGGCCCCAGCCCTCATGGGCAGGCCCTAATAGCACGGCTGGGGTGCAGGAGCCCCCCTTGGGCTGTCCGAGGGGAGAGAGTCTGGATGGCGTCTCTCCCGAGGCAGAAGACACACTGCAGCTTCAGCTCAACCTCTGCTCTAGGCCAGGTCCCCTCAGGGGCCACCCTCCACTTCTGTAGGTCCCCAGGGAGCCTGCGCAGTTCCAGCTGGGTGCCACACTCACCATGGGTGTCTTGTACTTGTGGCTCACCACTTCTTTAATTTCAGGAACTAAAACCGGACGGGCAAGAGACAAAACAGAAAGTTCAAAACTAAGAGCAACGGCGCCATGATCCCCCAGGCGGCAGCGCCCGGCACAGGGTCCCCTTCCTGCTGCAGCCTTCCCAGTGGCTGCAGCCACTTGGGCTGTGACAGGACAGAGGACACAGGAGGCTTCTATCGAGCAGAGTCCTCAGCTGGGCCTGTAAGCCTGCAGGGTGCGCTGCCCGATGGCCGGGGTTCTCCTGCTTCCACAGAAGCCAGGGAAGCAGGGCCGGCCTTTCTGCAGCCTCGTCACTGCCACCATCCAGGTCCCGGGAGGCATGGCAGCAGCCAAGACACAGTTTCTAGCCTGGGCCTCACCTTGCTGAGCTGCCCGGGAACTCAGCCATGTCACCAGCCCGCAAGTCTGGTCCTCCCAGCCCCTACAGAGGCTTGAAGTGGCCCAGGGAGCCCAGGGCAATAAACCCATCGCACCAGCTGCGTCCTTCCCCAGCGAGCGGCAGGAGCAGCCCGCGCCTGGCTGTGTGAGGGAGAGCGTCAGAGGGCTCAGAGCAGACACACCAAGCAGGACAGAGGCGAGGACAGCACTGGGGAGGGCCAGGGAGTGCCAGCGAGTCCACAAGGTCCACAGCCCAGAGAGCAAGCCCAGGAGCTGCCCGTCCCGCCATGCAGGGGCTCTGCGTGGCCAGACGAAGGAGTGGGGCCCTTCAGGCCCAGCCACTGATGTGGCCCAGAGACAGGGAGAGGGGTGTGATGTCCTCCAGCGAGGGGGACAGAAAGGGAGGATGAGAATTGGCCACACCTTCTTCTGACCCTGAGAGGCAGAACTGGGGACCTGGGTTAGCAGGGAGACGCCTGGCCCCTGTCCTGAGCTGGAAGAGCCCCAGTGGACCCTGCAGGAGAGAGGAGGGCGTACCCTGGGGACTGAGCTGGGACTAGGGAGCCAGCAGGGTGGGCGGAGGGGTGGAAGGGAGGAGACACTGGCAATGTGAGCGAGCGGCTGGTGGAGCCCCCACCCGGCAGGCCCGGGGAGGGAGCACGAGCCGGAGTCTTTTACCTGCTGGAGAACGAAGGTTTTCATAGCAGCGACGAGGGCGCAAGAGAATGCAGCACAGACACAGCAGCCCCCCAAGCCCGGGCAAGGACCCCCTCCTAGTGCCGCCTCCAGTGCCAGGCCGCTGGCTCAGCGCTTCCGCCTGGAGCCCGGGCTTCCCGGCCCTCCGACTGCCTGCCTGTGATGCCCACACCCCCCTCTGGCACAGGCCAGGCAGGGACAGAGCAGCGCCAGGGTGGGGAGCTATGGGGCTGCTACAGCCGCAGCAGGCGACACGGACACAGCAGGGCTCGGGATGCTGGCCGTCTGCACGCCCGCCCCGCGGCTTCCTGAGCCCTGTGCTACCCGCCTGCCCGGCCACGCCAGGGCCATGCCGGCCACTCAGCCAGGGCGGCCCTCTCGCCTGGGCATGTGCGGGGCTGTCTGCCTTCCTTCCCTCCTCTCTTCTCCCGCTCCCTGCCATTCCTGCTCCTCCTGGCCTCTGCAGCTCCTCTTCGCCCTGCCTCTAACCCTCCTCTGGAGCTCCAAGGTTTGAGTTACTGCCATGTGAGTCCAGACCTAAGAGCAAAATAGTGTAATTACCAAATTCCTCCAGGACAAAGACGCCTCGAACTGTATTGCACTTTTTAATGTGATTCAGCTCTATGAAAACCTGCAAGAGAGGGAGGGAGGCCGGGTAAGGCCAGGAGCCCCGGCCGGCCCTTGGAGCCCGCTCTCCCACTACGGCCCCACCCAGCACAGGGAGCCTAGCTCCAGGGAGGACGCAGGATCCACACACACACAACCAAAAGCGCTAGGAAGCGAAGACAGCAGAAAGGGCATGTACCTTCCGCTCCTGGCCGGAGGAGAAAGCATGGGAGAGAAATGAAGGCGTTAGTTGGGATGGCCAAACCCACCCACAGGCCCCTCTGCTGGCCTGGGCTGCCTGCTGTTCCCTCTGCCCAGGGCAGGGCTCACAGCACATGTGCCGGGGTCCCCAGTGACTCGGCCCCTCTGTGTCGCCCTTCCATACATCCTCCTCCGGCGCAGAGGGCTGGCACAGCGCAAAGCTCCCTTCACTGTCCTGGGGGTGGCAGTACTGGCATCTTCCTGGACACAGGCTCCCTCCACCTCCCAGAGGTGTGGGATACCAGTGGCAGCCCCTCGTTGGGCGCTGTGCCTAGTGCTGGCACCCGGACCATGGCAGCCGAGTGTCGCCCCAAGATGAGGAAATGGAACTAGAAAGTGTATCTGCCCATAAATAATGAAGCTGAGCTTCAAATGTGAGCATATCCTGACTCAATCTGTGCTATTTCCATTTGTCATCCCTGACTGCTTAGCTCTGCCAGGAGGCTCCTGTCAGTCTGCAAGTAGACCAGAAGTTGGCCTTAGCCTGCTCCCTGGGAGCTGCTTCTGCTAGGGCCCGGCCTCTGCCAGGTGGGTCATAATGAGCCCAGGGGCTGCAGAGCAGAAACAAGGTTGGGAGCTCTCCCCAGGAAGGGCTAGACCTCTGTGGTCTAGAACAGTAGCCAGGTGATCCCGCCTCAAGCTGCCCATAGGTCTGTGGGGTCTGCTGCCACCTGAGGCCCTGGACTAGAAGAAGCATTAAGCACCTCCTGGGACACCAAAGCTGGCTGGCAGACGCTGAGAGAGGGGGCTAAGCGGGCGAGCGAGGGGAGGGCCCAGTAGCCAGGAGGTTGGGGGTCCTGCCTGGTCAGGGGCTGGGGGCATCACATAGGGCAGGCTCAGCATCTCAGGAGAGGAGCCAGGACACAGGGGAGGGGAGAAAGGCACTTGTGTGAAGAGGCAGAGCCAGGAACGGACCTGGGAAGACGCGCTGGCCTCAGAAGGCATCAGCTTAAAGAATGTCCACTGGGTGAGAAAGTAACACTGTGTTAAAAGACCAAGAGGAAAGAGTCAGCTCAAAGGCAGAACCACAGCAGGCAAAGATGATCCTGCCATGCCCCCCAACAAAAGAAGGGGCGCAGGGCCTGTGGAGCAAGGGACAGAGTGGATGCTTAAAGGAGGGGCCAGGAAGTCAGCAGGAGAAAGGAAAGGCAAACACACGCACACTCCACAAGGACAGGCGGGTGCGCACGCACACACCCAAGCACACCTGCACCGGCAGGTGAGAGTGGCAACCCGGACCTCAGGGCCACGTCAACAAGCGAAGCAACCCTGGGCACACGGCAGAGGCGCAGCGGCCATGTGAGACGCTCCCACTCACACTGTGTGAGTCTAAAGATGGCGGCTCCCTGAGCACGGTGTCTCACCAAGGGGGCTGTGCCCTCCCCTCTGCTTTGTCCAGCTCTCCCTGGGGCCCCCGTGCTCCCTGGGATGCATGGGGACCTGGACCCTGGTCCGCAGTGGAACAGTGGGCCGGGGTCGGGCGTGCGCATGACACCACTGGCACCTACCTGGTTGTGCATGAACTTGAGATTGATCCCTTCCAGGGTGACCTGCAGCAAGCCACCCTCGCCAGTTTTCATGTCCTGCACGGGGAACTCGCCGCCTAGTTCGGGCCCTGCAAGGAGGGCCAGGTGGTCAGCTCCCTGGTGCAGGGGAAGCAGGGCTCCCCACAAATGACTTCTGGCCAGACCCAGCACACACAAGGAAGATGCTCTAGCTCCTGCTGTCCTCACCTGGCTTGATGCTCTGCTGGCGGGCGGCTGCGCGCTCCATGCTGTCCTTTACACAGTAGTACAGCTCCCGGCACTGCGGCACAGGGGAAGAGAGCTGGCCTGTGGGTTCCACCCCCTGCTCTGAGGGTGCTGCACAGGCTGGGACCACAACCAGGACTCAGGGATGGTTAGGGATCCTGCACAACAGCTGGAGGCCAAAGGGTGGCTCCAGGTGTGCATTTTGGAAATCTTCCTAGTGAGAAACGTAGCATTTGGCCCTAAAGCCCACCTGAGCCCCAAGCCAGAAACCCCAGGTACCTTCTTAGTATAGAACTTGTTGAGCTGCGTCTCGGAGCCATTTCTGCGCCACAAGCACAGGACCTTGGTCTTGGGACAGTAGGTCATGTTGATGAGCTTCTCGTACCACCAGCGCTCGTACACTGTCCCAATGTTGCTGCGCAGCACCACGCAATCGTCACACACCTGTGTAAGCGTGCAAAGCAGGTCAGCGGCTCCACCTCCACAGGCCTCCTCTGTCCCAGCCACACTCCAAGTACCCCATAGGAGAGGGGGCAATGGATGCCAGGAGCCCACACAGCTTTCCTCCTGGCCTCCCTGGATGGAGCTGCAAACCAGGATGGCTGGACACCTGCCTTTGGGAGAAAGGTAGGAAGAAATGGGTTCCCAGCGGAAGGAGCCAGTGCCCAGGGAAGTGGCCATGAGCTGCACCCTACAGGGTCTCACAGCCTCAGGGCAGCTCACACCTCCAGCTCCTGTGTCTAGGAAACAGCTCTTCTGAGCATGCGAGGCAGGACTCACGGCAGATCCGACCAAGGGGAAGAAAACAGCCTGGGCATGCTTTAATCCTGGCTCTGCCCTACTTCTATAAAAACATTTTGAGAACTTACACAGTGACATGTGAACAGTACTTAGAGCAAATCATTCAATACAAGTGGAAAAGCAGAGCCCTTCTCACCTCTTCCTGTGGACTTGCCTATGCTTGTGACTGCTACTCTCACAGAGATGCCACCGCGTGCTGCTCAACAGCAGGGTCTAACGAAGTCACCCATGAGGGAACTGAGCCTCCGGTCTTCCTGCCTCAGCCTCCCCCAGTGTGCTGATGTTTCTGCAGTGCTAGGGCACCAAGCCGAGGGCCAGTGCACACCAGGCAAGCGTGCTCCCCAGGCCCCAGCCCCAATCCTAAGTACCTGGGTTTAGGTTCCAGCTCTACCCATTCCCAAGTTGTGTCACCCAGAACAAGTTCATGTCTGCATGTCCTCATGTGCAAGGTGGGGGTGGTACCAGGAACACGTGCAGTCACCGTGAAGATTAAACAAGGGATTGTGCATAAAAGCCTCAGCGTGCAGAAGCTAGCCACGGTGGCACATACCTGCAAGCTCTGCACCCAGGGAGGCCAAGGCAGGAAGACTGCAAGTTTGAGCATCTAACTTAATGATACCTGGTCAAGCTAACATGCACAGAAAGGCAGGAACATAGAACGCACTCCACTCTAATCACACCAGGTGCGGGGCTGCACGCCTATAATTCCAGCACTCAGGAGGAGGCTGGTACTCACTGCTATAATCCCCAACCCTGACACTGCCTGGCACACAGCATGTGCCCTATAAATATTAGGCCAACAAGAAATAAATATACAAGACTATCAGCTTTGAAAGATTACTAGAAGGGGTCGGGGTGTGGCTCAGTGGTAGAGCTCTTGCCTTCTATGCACAAAGCCCTGGGTTCAACCTCCAGCACTGCCACAAAGCCTTACAAAGAAAGGGTCTGAGTATACCAGAGTGGAATGGAAACGAGTTCTAGGGTAGAAGGTTTTCTCCAAGTGGAAACGGACACTACTCCTGTCAATAAACCTTTGGGATATCATGTAAAGGAGAGGGATGCATCTAGGAAGGAACCAGCCTTCCAGGCTAGAGAATGCTGGGTCACACTTACCTCTGCTGCTGAAGCTTAACCTGCAGTGTTTGGGATGGCGATTTGGCAGGATCTACCAAAACTTTAAATGCATATAACCTTGACCTGGAAATTTCATGTCTAGGCATATATCCTACAGAAACACGCTCGTGTCGGTGTGCAAAGATGTATGTGGAAAATATTTAATGAAACAACGTTTTTTTTTTTTTAAAAAAATGAGAATGACAGACATAGCTAAATAATTATGGTACATCCAAATAATGCCAAATAGCCAAGCATCCACTGTAATAATATGGAAAGATGCCCATGATACATTAAGTGAGAAAAAAGGAAATGATATATTAATATCTGTAGCTTGCATACCCTTTATAATGCAAAAACAATTCTACTTATATAAGTTCTAATTATAGAAATATGCATTTAAAAAAATATGAAAGGATTCATCGCTGGGCATGGTTGTGCACACCGTCAGCCCAGCGCTCAGGAGGCTGAGGCAGGAGGATCATGCTGAGTTGGAGGCCAGGTTGGGCTATAAAGTGAGTTCTTGGCCAGACTGAGTTACACAGTGAGACCTTGTCTCAAAAAGACAAAAAAGAAAGAAAGAAAGAAAGAAAGAAAGAAAGAGGCTGGGGAGATAGCTCAGTAGAATAAGCGCTTGCCTGGCAAGCACAAGGGCCTGAGTTTAATCCCCAGTTCCACCAAAAAA